GGTCGCATCCGCATACAGAATACTTCACGCTATACGGAGAGCCTTTTCACGCCTGACCCCAACACTCTTCAGATTACTGTTCGCTTCTCATGTACGCCCAGTTCTTGAGTACGGATTGCCTGCTGCGTACACTTTCACCAAGTCCGAACCTGAAAGTCGAAAAAGTTCAACGGCGTGGGTCCAAATCCGTTCCAGAGCTTCGGGACTTATCCTACCTCCTCCGGCTACAACGGTTGAACCTGTTCTCTTTGGATTATCGTCGTCGCCGCGGAGATATGATATTCACCCGGCGTATTCTACGAGGTGAGCTGGGGAGTGAGCTGCAATCGTTCTTTTGTCTAAACACAAGTTGTGCAACTCGAGGCCACCGGTGGAAACTTTTCAAACCGCGGCGACTCCGTGTACGGTCAGATCTGGCCCTATCCACCCGGATAGTGAATGACTGGAACAGCTTGCCAGAAGCTGTCGTCGATGCGGAGACTGAGGAATGTTTCAAACGACGGTTGGATACCCACTCTCTGAGTGCGCAGGGATTCTGCTGCCCACAATACAACCATAGCGAGCTTCTGCTGAACCTTGTTCCGCAATGATCCCAGCAACCCTCGCAATGTCCGGGAAGTGACGGAGCTGACAAAGGAACTTCCTTCTGCTCTCTACTAACCAATGAACCAATGAACACTGCACTGGAACAAGTGTATGTCACGACTAGGCATACGAAGGAGACCGCAGTAGTATGTGCGGCAGAGAGATCGAGAGAGTACGGGATTATTCAGTTATATATATTTATCTATAAATCATGACGAACGTTAACCAAATAAGCCTCCTCGCTTTATCGCCATTTCAAACAATGCGCAATATGGGAGCGATGCACGCATAAAGCATTCAAGTGCACGTGATTTATTTTGAATTCAGCTTTTCAAAGCAATGTCTCTAATCGTTAATCACCTGCTGACCAACATTTTGGCTTGTGTACCCAAACGCAAGGTCCCCGTGCGGCTACTTTTGCTTACAACAATTAGCCACTCCCACTACCGGTAGACCAGGAACCACACATCCTTTTCGTCCTGCTGTGCAGATTTTGCCAATGGCTACCACGGTTGAAAGTCCTGTCGAGGAGCTTAAACCGCAGAGAAAGGAAGTTGAAGTCCTTAAAGTTCTTGGTAATGTGTCAGTAAACAGTTTCTGATGTTTTAGCTGAGAAGGTGAGGGGTCACGTAAAGTGGTACAGTGCTTCAAAGAGATATGGGTTCATTAGTAGAAATGACGACGGTGGTGATCTTTTTGTCCACCGATCAGTTATTTCCTCGTATTCCAAGCGGTTCCCTTCCCTTAGAAGCGGAGAAGAAGTTGAATTCTCTATAGTGGAAACCAATCATGGCATTGAGGCAACGCTTGTTACTGGTCCTAATGGTCAGCCCGTGAAGGTTAGTCAACTTTTTTGTCAAGATCTACGTTGCTGAAAATACCAACAACTAAGTGTCGTCCACTATCCTTGTTCCATTCTCCTTTGTTTGCCATGCACAACAACCGTTTACTGGGTCCTTTTTACGTACTCTAATGCGGCGTCTGTCTTGGCCACTCCTCCATAGCCACATTTCCACGGAATTTCTACCCATTTGGATAAGAGAACCTGTTGTTTTGTCATTTCCTACCTTATGAAATAGACGCCACTTATGATGACAAAATCTAGTGTCTATACTTGAAGTAGGAAAGGGTTAGCAAGGTTCAAGTTTAAATTCGGGTGACTCTGGGACGATAGGAGAATATCGGGATTGTAGCTTCTTGAGTGGATCGTTGAATCAGGAATTGATGAAGTGCTCGGAGTTCTTGATGTAACTAAAACGGAAAACCGGTATCACACTGGCCAGCCAATTAATGCCCACATTTCATGGGTTTCACGGGTTTGTGTAGGACAAATAGGCTTTTCTTTTCGATGGTTCTGCCTCGAGGTCATGTTGTTGTCGGTACGTTCCAGATGTTGTAGATTGCGGCTCCGTTGGTGTGTGGGGCCCAGGTATCCAGCGTCTTGGTTGTTTAGATGTGGCTACCTGGAACGAAGGGTCTGGTGTGCAAGTAAACGGCCGATGTTGGCGGTGTTATTGCTTTGCATATGGGGGCACAGACGTGGCAGTACGGGGACATAAAGGTGTCAGACAGGGGGACAGTTTGATACAGTTACATAAGAGCTAAATAAGGAGAGTACGCCGAGCTACTGTGTCAAAAGTTGTGACCCTACCAGCTAGCTTGACGAATGGCCCAAGTCTTTTAACATGAAGAGCCAGCGAGGTAAGAGCTAAGCATCTGGGCGTTGTTTGAAGACCTCTGTATTGTGCGCTGAGACTAGTTTCAGACAGAACGTTCCAGACGAGACTTGAATTTAACGTGGTGCGACGGTTTGCGTACCTCATTGACCCATTGAGCTATACTGGATGATGCCTCCAGGCATCTTGAGAGCTACTCCTACCAGGTTGGTCAATGGTGAGAGGTCAGACAAACTCAGTCTCCTGTTCCTCCAGGTTGGGGGTTTGAAATGGGATGGCGTCCATTTCTGTAAAACTAAATCATTGGTACCTCCCCGCTGTTTTGCGGACAGGCTTTTGAGCCAAAGGCTTCGGATGAGGACCCTAATCGTCCTCCTGTCTAGGTCTGGGCGCTCTGGCAGTATCTCAGCCGACATACAACCATGACATTTTCTTCAAACATGCCGTCGCGCAGATTATCAAGGGTCGCCTTATCTGCTGCATACAGCAGGGCGGATAAGCGAAAACATGCCACTGCTGGCGCCTCCCTTCTTTCTTTTCCACCTTTTTCTCTTACTCCCATCCCGACCCCCATTACTAACCTTCCATAATTCCCAGCTTAATTGTCAACAACAGATGTGCCATTGCAGTAGAACCATCTGCAGCCACCATCCTACAGCACCTATAAGACAATTATCGGCAAAAGTCCCTTATAACGCCACGCTATCCTGTTTCCATGGCAACATTCACCGTTCGCACTCTAAGCCAAACAGGTCAACAGGCTGCACTCTCACGCACCTTGGACACCCTGGGTATTGATGTGTGTTGTGTTCCCGAAACTAGGATCAATGACCCTAACGGGGTTATTGAATTAACTGCACCTGGCTTATCCTCTCGTTATTGGTTGTACGCATCCGGAGACGCCGATGTAGCACTCGCGTGTCAAGCTGGTGTAGGTATCATTCTAAGCTCCAAGGCTGAGTCATTGTTGGTTGATTGGATTCCGGTGAACAGCCGTTTATGTGCAGCCCGTTTGACTACATCAGCTAAGGTTGATTCACGAAGTGGTAAAAAATCCTGTTTGTTCGTGATTTCCGCTTATGCTCCCACCGACTGCAGTTCAAATGCTGTCAAGGACACATTCTATCACCAGCTGAATGCACTATTACGCAGTGCTACTAGTTTAGACATTATAGTACTTGCAGGGGATATGAACGCACAAGTAGTGCTTCTGAGCTCTTCAGAAGCTCAGTTGGGTGGTAATTGTGGGCTTAACTCCGAACGGACTGACAACGGTGAGCGTCTGCTGCAACTGTGCGGAGCACCAGTTGTTTCTTAGTAGCACTGCTTTTAGACACAGTGGGCGCCGAAGTACCACTTGGCGTCCTCCTGTAGCTGACCAGCGATGGACCCAAATTGATCACATTGCCATAAGTTACAGATGGCGTGGTTCCATCCTGGATTGCCGCTCGTACTGGAGTACCTGTGTCGACTCTGATCATGCCTTGGTACGTTGTTGTTTCTCCATGAAATTTACCGGGAGGCGCACCAAGCGTCCCCTACGATTGGCAACTGAGAAATTGTCTCAGTTCTCGGTCAGGCAAGCCTATCAAGAAGCACTGTATACCGAACTCTCGCTGTCTTGTCCTAATGACACTGAGCTTCAGTGGAATAGGATCTCGGCCGCCATGCACGACGCAAGAGCATCTGCTTGTGGCACTAACAATCGTCACCGCACCAGTCATTGGATATCCGAGAGGTCGGTGAACCTGTTGGAATCTAGAAGACACCTCCCGGCTGGCTCTGAACACAATGCGGTGAGCGTCCCAGCCCACTGTCAGGCAAGCCTATCAAGAAGCACTGCATAGCGAACTCTCGCTGTCTTGTCCTAATGACACTGAACTTCAGTGGAATAGGATCTCGGCCATTATGCACAACGCAGGAGCATCTGTTTGTGGCACTATCAGTCGTCATCGTACCCGTCACTGGATATCCGAGAGGTCCGTGAACCTTTTGGAAGCTAGAAGGCACCTCCCGGCTGGTTCTGAACACAATGTGACCCGACGGGCTATTAGGCGTGAACTAAAGCGGAGCCTACGTGCTGACAAGGAAGCCTGGTGGACCAGTCGGGCTCAAGAAATGGAGGAGGCAGGAGCAGTAGGCAATTACCGCAAGCTCTTCCAGCTAATCCGCACCACTGGTCCCAGGAAACCAGGCGTCACTGAGACAATCAGAGACAGCGCGGGTGCGCTGATACACAAGAAGGAGCGTCGTATGGCTCATTGGGCTGAGCACTTTGAACATCAGTTCAGCTGGCCCCCTGCTCCCGGACCTCTTCCTACTCAGGTGCTGCAGGACGAGCCATGGACGGTTAGTTTAGAGCCTCCGTCGGAGGCCGAGGTCCGAAACGCGATCACAGCCCTTAATGGTTTTCGTGCCGCTGGCCCGGATTCCCGCCCACCTGCACTATTTAAGGATAGAGGTGAGGTCCTCTGCAAAGCACTGACCTCCCTATTCGAATGTGTCGGGAAAGAAGAGAGCATCCCGGCTAATTGGAGCGAATCGATTATAGTGGCAATATACAAGAAGGGCAGTCGCACAGACTGTTCTAACCACAGGTGTATTAGCCTAACGCCAGTTGTGACAAAATTACTGGCGTCGATTCTCGTTCGTCGCCTTACTGCAGAACGGGAATCTCGGATTAGGGAAGAGCAGGCTGGTTTTCGCCCAGGACGTGGCTGTATAGACCATATATTTACTTTGCGGCAGGTGCTAGAGCAGCGCCACGCATACCGCAGACCGACAATAGCTGTGTTCCTCGATTTCAAGAGTGCGTTCGATTCAGTTGATCGATCGATTCTGTTCGAAATACTTGCGCGGAAAGGTGTTCCCACGAAATATATGAACATCCCTCGTGCTCTATACTCGAACACTACAGTCCGCGTCAGGGTCTATGGTGCCCTCTCGGATAGCTTTCCGACTACAAGTGGCGTTCGACAGGGTTGTCCGATTTCCCCGTTTTTGTTCAATTTCGTCGTGGATTCTATCATGGAGTGTTCCCTTGCGGAATCTCACGATGTAGGTGTTGTAGTGCTGCCTGGTGAAAGGTTAGTTGATCTAGATTATGCCGACGATATCGTCTTGCTTTTCGACGATGTTGGGGCGGCCTAATCAACCCTGAATAGCCTGTCCAGAGTGGTCCCATTATTTGGTATGCACTTCGCACCTTCAAAGTGCAAGGTGTTGCTGCAGGACCACCAGCCACTCGATGACCCCTTGACGCTTGCTAACGAGGAACTCGAGGTGGTTGATCAATTCACTTATCTTGGCAGCTGCATCAGCAATGATGGGCGCATAGAAACTGACATCAGCTCACGCATTGCAAAGGCCAGAGCTACCTTCTTGAACCTGCGGCATCTTTGGCGACAGAAGGGAGTTTCCGTTCGTCTGAAAGGCCGGGTATACAAGGCCACAGTGAGGGCCGTTCTACTGTATGGTAGTGAAACTTGGCCCCTTCGGTCTGAAGATCTGAGGCGCCTTCAAGTCTTTGATCATCGTTGTTTGCGAAGCATTGCTGGAGTCGGATGGCACCAGCGTGTCCGCAACAATGATGTGCGTAGGCGAGTACTAGGTAATGATAATCATGCTAGCTCCCTAGAACAACAGATAGCACTGAATAAGTTGCGTTGGCTCGGGCACGTGCTACGTATGCCTGGTCACCGCTTACCTAGGAGGGCCTTGTTTAGTCTGCCAGGTGTAGGGTGGTGCATGGCTCGCGGTGGACAGAAGTTGACTTGGCAACGGGAAATGAAGACACTGACGACCAAACTGGGTACCGTTGGTCCATCTCGTCTTCCGGGTTGGAGTACACGTGACTCGCGTTGTGCTTGTCTCGAGACTTTACAGGACATGGCTCTCAACCGACACCAGTGGCGCGTCTGCTGCCGTCTCCTAATCGGATTGCCTGTTTAAGGCGTGTTTGGTGCTGAGTTATCTGCGGGGTAATGGCTGATTATGACGCGTGGTAGTGAAAGCCGCAAGGAAGCTGTCTCGCGGATGCAACATTACCTTTGCACAATAGCCAGCTGTTTGTGACGGAATGTTGTCTACACAAGGTGTAGGCGCATTGACCCTGATTGTTTGCTTAGGGCATTGAGGTTTTCGGGTAAGTCCCCCTTCTCTCC